AAAAATAGTTGAGAGAAAATTGCTTATTAATTCTAAATATACCTAGCACTCAAGTAATTTCTTCAATGATTGTAGAGGCTTTAAACCTAGACAATATTGAATGAAAAAGTTTTTTTTTTGCAATTGCAATAGCTTAGTGCCCAGACAACATAAGAAAAATAATTTTTCAACCATCACATAAGCCACAAAGTATGGGATGAGTTTAAAATTAGCACAAATTAGAGATTGGAAAGATATGGCTTGGGTTAGCATTGTTGCACTAAACTTTGTTTTCCTTTGAAAAGCTACTTAAGTTATCTAGTTTGGCATACATTGCCAAGAAATTCAAATTCAAATTGTTTAACAAGCAATTTCTTGAGAAAAATCCAAAAGAAGAAGGAATAGAGTTTGCTTGATATGGAAAATACAATTAACTACTCTAGAATTTTTTCCTTCTAAGCAAGTTTTCATTAAGGTTTTTAGAGAATATATTTTTCAGTAAAGTATCTCAATTTTTCTAGCATATATAAGGAAGAAAATTATGCATCTGTAACTCTTGTCTTTGACTCTAGCTTAAAGAGAGATAAAGCCAGTTTTAGTGAAGAACAAATTGGGGAATTATTTATCAAAATCTTACAACGCTTTGATAGAGAGAGAAGTAGAATAATAATTAGAACATTATGTTATCTCAAAACTTTAATCCAAGGTCCTTTAGTTTGGACAACCACTCAAACATGGTTTGAGAGTAAACTTGTCTTGAGTTTAAGTCTCTTATGCATATTTCAAAAGCCTATGAGGCTTGAATAAAACTCATAAGTTAAAAATTTAGAAATGATTATCACGAACCACTTTAACTGTTCTAATCACTTTAACCATTTGAACTACTCTTCACCTAGTACACCTAGGCAAATTAGTCAAGGCTTATCTCTTATACATAAAGAACTTACTCAAATATTTGAGTTACAAACACTGCTTAGTGTGAAAAGTGTCACTCTTATTTAGATTTTGAGAGCACTCACATCATATTTAGCCCCATAGAGAGGAATCAAAGGTAATTACATGAAACATACTCTATATCCCCTGAAGTAAGGCATAGAAAAAAAGTAAATATACAAATGAATAAACGTGAAAATTTACGTTTTAGACTAGTTGAGCGATACTCAATTGTTAGGAGGAATACTTGCCACTTTAAGTGTGAAACACCCTTTACAAGGTGTTGCAAATGTGATTGTGGGTATTAAAAGTTACTTATCAGCTAGTCCTTTCAAATATTTTTTCCTTATTGCCACGATAATAGGAAGTTGGTATTGCTGAACCCTTTATCAATCTTTTTTGTTCAAGTGTTAATAAACTTGATTTAGCATTTGTACTTAGCTAGACGAGCATAAGAAAGGAATTCTTAAGTGTCTATTTAGCCAAGCATATTTGGCTTAATTTATTAATTCTCTTTTACTTTATCCTGCACTAGCTTGATAGGAACTCCCATGATATTAAGTTTGGTCCCTCAATATTTGCTATATGATAGCTTGCCATATTTGTCAAACACCCTCACTATCATGCCCTTTGTATTGGTCTCTTTCTGGTCCTAATTGTTATTTACAAAAAGTGTCTAGATTTATTAATTTGGCATATTTAAGGAATGTCAAAATTATCCTAAATATAATAGTGTTATTCCCATGCCCAAATTCGCAATCTAACATCATTCAATATTTAGTAAGTTTTCATAAAGACTCATAGTACTAAGAGTGGCTAAGGGTAAAAGCCCAAAGTAGGTATTCCACATATATAATAAGGATAGTGGGCAAATTAGGCATAGTCGACTAACCTGAGGTATAATCTAATTCTCATTTATATGTTTGTCTTTGTTCTACATTTGATTTGGGTCTAAACCTAAGTTCCACACCATGCTAGCTGGTGGAGTACCTATATCCTCGCGTTAAGCCACCAGTATGCTAAAATAGCGCTAAGTTTTATTTAGCTCTATTTTACGTGGCAGTCATAACATTAGGATGTTGAATTCTTTAGGACTGTTCCAAGTTGTTTTGTGCTTTTGTCCCTTCATTTCTTGGGTTATACGCACAAGAGTCACTCTATACTCCAATTCCTTTGTTCATTGGCTCTATCTTTAAGAGTTCAACTCTATTCCTTCATTTAGGGCTTAAGACCCTAAAACTTGGGTTTTGCTCCATTGTCCTTGGACACATGGCATATGACATGTGACATATGAAGGGTTTAGGTTCTGCTTCATGGTTATCCTATAATAAATCACCATAGAATAAAGGGTAAAAACCACGTATGCTACATTTGGTATCAAAGGATACGTCTCAATATGTACTATCTAATGAGATTAGGCAATTAGTTTTGTTACATAAACAAATATGAAAACAATGATCCGAGTGGGTACACGCTTGGGTGTTAAAACTTCACATTTGTTCATTAGGTATGGATTTTGATTACCTTTTTGTCCTATATTGTGGAAGTTTGCACTTGGGCTCATAAAATAGATTGAGATCTTCAATTTGAACGAGTTTGTGCTTGGGCTTGTGAATAAAGCACATTAGCAACTCAAGGTTACACTTTGAGTTGGTAAGATTAATGTTAGCCTGTCAATGGTCCTATGAACTGCTCCATTGTTCGATATAATATGGGTAAAAATAAACTTCCCTTGGGTTTACTATGAGTGGCAAATAGGCTGGTTTATAGCTATTTAGCACAACACTAGTGGATCCTTCCTAGGCATGATTATGAGTGGATCAATCAAGATTGTAGGGATTAGTCTATTAGTTCAAATAGTCATACTATGCTTTTTATAAATTTTTCTTGGATTAAACTGAAAATTATGCAAATACAAATTTGAGGTGTAGTCAAAGTTGAGCCCGAAAAAAGAGTTATTAAGGACGAAGGATCAAACATGTAAATCATCTTTTCTTCTTTAAAAGATGATTTAGCAACAAAATGTGATTTCATTGTTTGTGTTCATATTATGCAATCAAGAGTCCTTATCTTAATGCATGTTGGTTATGATGGTTTTACAAGTGGTGAGTCATAAGATGGATAGCAGTAAAGCACTAAACCATTTTGTATAAACTTGCTATTGAAAACTTGGGTTACAATGTTTAATTTTTTTCTAGGGAACTTTACTTTTGTTCTTTGAGTAGCTTGGTGTTGGATAAGTTTTGAGTTTAGTTGGAAAGAGTGGTATGAGTTTGTCTATGTTGTGAATAAAATTGGTAGTGTTCAGTGTTGTAAATCTCTATTGATAGGGTGTGGTATTTATGTTGCATTTTATCAAATAGAGTTGGTATTTGATACTTACGTAAATTTATGGAGTAATAATGTGGGCTTGCTCATAACGATGTTTAATTGATGATCAAGTCATTATGATGTTTATATTATATTCATGAAATAGTGAGTAATGTGTTTACAAAGTTGTTTAGTCAAACAATGATCAACCCCAAAGTGGTTGATAGTAAAACTAGTCTACTTGCAAGTAGTAGCTTTGACTTAATTTTCAATAGTGATCCATTATGCTAAGTTTAAATTAGTACCTTTTTTCCTTGAGAGTTTGCTCATTAGGTATTGGAAAAAGTTATAATATTCATTTGCTATAGTTTGTTAGTTTATTCATACTTGGAATACATTATTGAATGGAGAAAGTGTGAAATTGAGGCATTGATATTATTAGCACTTGTATTATTAGAGATAGCATTGTTATATTGAGTGATGAGGAATTTTTCTTAGAGCTTGATTTTCCATGTCATTTTTCTTGTTAGTGTTTTAGCTTTATACTAAATCTTGAAAGTGATTGAAGAAAAATGTTAATGCAATGTGAATATCCAAAGATATAATCTTTGTAATCAAGTTTTGGGTATTCATTTGCATTTTACGGATGTCAATGAAAATATGGGCATGATGTTTGATGGTTAAACTTGTTGTTAAGTCATAAGAATTTATGTTGAGGTGAATTTATATGAAGTTGTTAATATGAGGAAGTTGATTGAGTCTTGAAAGTTTACATTTTTAAACAGAGTCTCATTTTTTCTTTAGGATGGAAAATTTTCCATAAAATTTCTTATACTTTTCCAATGGTTAATTTTTTAATAATTTTTCTTGAAAACCATTCCATTTTCATAAGCCAATATAAACTAGTGAAAGGGTTAAAGTTGACTTTGATTAACTCAGACTTAGTTTGTATGATACGGCTCAAAAAGGATACTGACTTTTAAGGTTAAGGCAATTGAGTTAAATAAAGTTTAGAGTTGGTATAAAAAAGTGGCCATTGCACTTTTCTAGAAAGATAAATTTTATGTTTTTCTTCTATAGCCTTATAGTAGGTGGTAGATTGCACCTTATATTTCATTATACTCTATGAGAGTAGTAATTCTCATTGACTTTGACTTGGCCTTAGTGGATCTATACTTTAGCTAAGAATAATGATGTTTAATTAATTGTTTGAAATTAAGGTGTTAATATCCATATTATAACTTTATTTATGAGGAGGTTATATACTAATATAAATCCATCTTGCAATCTTCATTTTAGTTTCAACTAAATGTTAATCATGCATAACAAGCCTAAAGGTGTACATAGTCTAAACCCAGCCATTGGGAATCCCAAGGTTACATCAGAGGACAAGTGCATGAAGCTTGTGTGGGAATGCTTAGTGCTTTGGCTGGTCTTCACAAGCTGGAGGTGGTTCATTGTGAAGTGAGACTGGACAACATGATCTGGTCTCCTGTGCTACATGCCATTCAAAGAAACTGTTGGCATCACCGCAGCAGAAACAAGCTGCTGAACACCGACATTGTATGCCCTTTCAATGTGTGATTTAACAGTCCCATACTTTGTTTTGTAGACCACCCAATTGTCAATGCTCTTCATGCATCCCTCGCCGTCAAGCTGGATAGTGGACCATGCCCTCTCGTGTTTTTTGAAGAGCGGCAGCATTCTGAGAAAGAATCAAGAATAAAAAGGTTGACATACGAAGAAAACATACCCGCTAGGTACCATGTCCCTGCAGATACTCAAGCATAGGAAGTAGAGCTTGAAGAAATGCAGAACAAGCTTGACACGTCGTCAATAAGGTTCAAGTTGTACGCAGGGTCTAGTGGCTCTACCTCAAGACCTGAAGCGCTTTTGACAAAGAGCTGGCATGTCATGCCAACGCGAGCACAATCTTGATGTTCCTGAGCGCCCAGCTAGGCACCTTATTGAAGCTTGGACGAGATCTCGTTCACAGCCACCACGAAATCGTCGCCGTCTGCTTTCCCCTCCCCAAACATGAACACAAAGTCGACGTACTGAAGGTCTCTTCCTCTTGCCGAACATTGGCATCTGCGCGGACGATGAGGTACAACTTCTAAGTCCCCTCCACTTCCTTAAGCTCCAATGAAGTCTTGGGCGGACGAGACGACCGAATGGAAGGGACGAGAAAGAACTAGAGCCCGCATATTTCCTAGTTCTTCGTCCCTGCAAGTCAGAAGCTCGATCGTGACATAGATCTCTATCTCTTCTTTGATTCAGTCGTCGTCCTCGTCGTCAGCGTCGCCATAAGCAGCGACTAGTCCAGCCATGATCCCCGGCTTGCTGTCTTGCTCGACGAGGCCTTCTTCGACTTTAGCTTTCTTAGCGGGCCTTTGGAGAGGCTTCACCTTGACAAGGATGCTGGAGTGGGACAGTCGCTTTGGCCCTGCCTGTAGAGTGTGATTCCAAGGAAAGAACGAAACTTGGTTTCTTACCACGGCCTCTCTCTTTTTTGGCTGGGGAATGGGAGCTGCCTCTTGTGATGCTTGCATTCTCTTCGCTACCGCTGCCTGCTCGCGACTTTAGCTCAAGAAAGAAAGCCTATGAAACGCAAGCTCACTCACGTCAAAGTTGCTTAGTTCTAGCGCTTCTTCCTTTGCTACTTGCCGGTCGTGTTCTCTTTTCACCTACATTACTTTCTCAGTAAGTCGAGAAAACGAAAAAATCCAAGGGCGAAAAGAAAAGAAGGAAGAACCTTGTCAATCCCTTCCAGAAACTCCATTTCCTCTGGATCCAACGCTTTCGGTGGTTCTGTTACACATTCAGTGTGAGCCAAGTTAACACACACACACACAGAAAAAAAAAAAAAAAAACTCTCACGGTGTTTGAAGCGGTCTTTGAACTCTTTATCCTGCTTTTGCTTGTTCTCCCTGAGAATCTAGAAGGACAAGGGAGAAGGAAATATAAGATAAAAGCACGCGCCAAACCTCGTGCAATGGCCTCTCAGGCGCCAGCGTTCCATCCTGAATTGTGGCTCCACGCGAAGATTTGAGCTCTTCCAACTGGATAGAGAATGCATAGAGTGATGGAGGGAGCCATGGCTCGAGATTTGATGCATCCCACCTTACTCTCGGAGATGAACTGCATCAAGCGCACCGGCTGCTGTTGTTGCTCCATAGCTTTTGCCCTAAACCTAAAAACAGAGTGGATTGGAAGGGAAAAAAGAGGGGTTTAACGGCATTTTAGGGTTTCTTAGGAAGGGGATCCTAATAACAAGCCTTGAGCGGGAGTTTAGCATTATATTTCAATGGAGATACGATTGAGAAGCTAGCTTAAAAGAAACGAAAATGAAGAGGATAAGTGAAGAACTCGATTCACTGCCTAAGTAAATCTTGGTGGCAGAGGTGGGAATGGAACAGCATTGCCTGCAAACAAGTCCTTGAGGTTGAACGGGGTAGCGACGCTCTGGTCTCCGTGCCAAAAGTTCTTAAACATCATCAAGTAGGCAGCCTCGCTGAAGTGAGCAGCATCGAAAAACATGTAAGTTGCCGGGTTTGGACACAAAAAGGGCTGGTACTCAGACGTCCTCTGTGTGTAGGAATCGGCACAAGACTCGGCAGCGTTGAAAGGGCCAGCTCCACAGCACGCATCCACACTGTTCACGAATCCTACTCAAGTTCCAACGAATCGAGTGTCAGAAGAATTTTCTACCACGAAACGAGACCGCTTACCAGAAGCTCTAGGTACGCGTATTGTGCTCATCAAGAGATCATACGGCTTGAGAACAATCAGCTGAATTCCCGTGAGTTGCGATGACAGGGTCTTGGCGAGATCGTCAAGTCCGGCGTTCACGTCCTTGGCCAAGGTGTTTGCTGCCTCCAAGCAGTCGAAACGCCTGAATCCCTGGCTCGAACGAGATGCGGCTAGCTTTGACTGCGGGAAGCAACCCACGGGTCCAAGTTCCACCACCACTATCTTTCGTGCTCCATGGTTATACAGCGTCTGCAAAGCACCAAACGGTTTGAGGAAAGAAAACTCCAGAAACTTGACACTTACCTCGATGCCTGACTTGTAGGTGGCGATCAAGCTCTGGACAAACTGCTGCTCGGGAATCTTCATCGACGGTTGTGAAATGTAGTTGGCAATATCATCGGCACCAGTGGAAATGACGAACACGGACTCGCTCAGCATCGTCTCGGCGTTGCTCTTGCCTCTCCACTTGAAAACCTCCATCACACTTGACAGCTGCTGGAGCTGCTTCTTGAAGCTCACGACTCCTCTGGAAGTACCGGTTGAATCGAGCAGGCCACTCCCAGCCGAGGCAAAGTTCGCGCCGTGCCTGTGATCTCCCAGCGGCTGGACGAAAGGCGGGACGAGAGGAAGGCCGAGGGACTGCGCCAGGAAATCCGCCAGCGTCCGGCCATTGGTAAAACGTCCAGCAGCGTGGCCGAAGAACGTCTCGCCGTATGGAGAAACGCTGGCTTGGTACGTAGAGTTCACATACGTGTTGGTTCCAGCATCGACGGTGCCATCTCCGAGGATGAACAGGGCTGGAACGCTGGGCAAATTGTACTGCGCTGAAGCTAAGGAGGCGATGATCGCGATGAGAAGCACCGCTGCTGGGAAGAACTTGGTGGATTCAAGTGCCATCGCTGCTGCTTGACGATAACTTCCCTTGTGGAATGGCTGGTTTTATAGCGAGGCTCGGCCAAAGTTGTCCGCGGACTAACATGGTCATTTCATTTCCTTAAATCTGAAATATGGGAAAAAAAAAAAAGTGTTTTAGAAAAACTTGTCCTTTTATTACCAATGAAAACAAAGAAAAAGAAACAAAGAATATTCTTTAGCAGTGAATTTCTAATTGGTTTTAGGGCGGAGTTGAAATCAAGTGGAGGAAGATTCTCCTTTGAATGAACAGGATAAAGAATTTTAAGAAGATTTCTTTCTTTCTTTTGTGTTTATATCCTCACTCTGAATTTGCAAAGGATTGACATCTTTCCTCCCGTGGAGTTTTCTGGGAAAGTAATGGAGGTGAGAAGAGAACACGACCAGCAAGTAGAAAGGAAGAAGCGCTAGAACTAAGCAAGAGTGTTTCATAGCTATGGAGCAGCCTTCTGTCTTGAGCTAAACAAACGTTTGTCACGAGCAGGCAGCAGTAGCCAAAGCATCGCAAGAGGCAGCTCCCACTCCCCAGCAGCATCACAAAAAATGGAGAGACGCCGTGGTAAGAAACCAAGTATTCTTCCCTTCGGAATCACACTGGCAAAGCGACCATCCCACTCCAGCATCCTTGTCAAGGTGAAGCCTCTCCAAAGTCCCGCTAAGAAAGCTAAAGTCGACGAGGTCCATGTCAAAGTCGTCGGAGAGCCGCGGCCAATGGCTGGTCTTAGGCGGCTCTAACGACGAGGACGACGACTGATTCAAACGGAGATAAAGGTGGCAAGTTCGTAGTTTATCCCCATTTGTCACGATCGAGCTTTTGACTTGCAGGGACGAAAAACTAGGAATATCCGCGGGCACCAATGAAAGCCGGCCTCCACCAGGTTGCCCGCGTGTCCAACAGTTCTTCCTCGTCTCGCCCGACCACCACATTCGGACGTCTCTTGGACGCCCAAGACTTCGTTCGGAGCTTTTAAGTTGTGAGTGGGCTCTACAAAGGAAGAGGAGGAGACCTGCGTTCTTGGCTTAGAAGCTGTAGCCCAGCGATGAGGAGCATCGTTGTGCTGGTAGCAGGATTGGTTCTGGGTTGGATCGACAGAGCTTTGGATTTGAGCAGGACTTTCTTGGTGAGATGGATAGGGGTGAAGAGGCTGCACTGGATCTCCAAGCATCTGGTGCCGTGGAGCTTGCTATATTGGATTGGTGGGACTCTCCGGCGGAACTTTGTGATGTGGAGGAACTGTGGTGTCATTTTGGGGGTCGTGCTACTGACCTGGAAGACGCAGTCGCGGCTGCTGGGCAGCTCGGGTAATGGCAAGATGCAAACGAAGTGGAACGTGACAGCCGCTGTGCCGCTGCCAAGACGTCTGGTCTACGACAACGGGTTGGGAAAAACTCCGATAATGGGGTGAGTGTCAAGAAAAAAATGGGTTTTTTTCATGCTTTTTGAGAAGCCAATTTCTTCGCGGGACTGATGAGAGTTCGCTGTTGCATATAGGTGGAGCGGCTGGAACAAATACGAGTGCAAGATCAATGAGAAGATCGTTTTCGGAAACAGTAAGACCTCTCTTTCACGTTTTCTTTTTCTTGCTCTGTTCTTTTCAACAGGACTTATCTTATTGTTGTGGTTGATATGATTTTTCAGCTGATGCGCTGGTCAGGCATGGGCTCGATCAGCTCGGATACAATTACGTCATTGTTGGTAATATATCTCAATCACATGGTTTTTTCGGGTACTATTTCTTGTGTTTAGATGATTGCTGGGCTGCTTATAAGCGCGATAAGCAGGTGAGTAGAAAACGGAGTGAAGCTTCTCATGAAAATCCCGTCTGTCTTTGTGTACAGGGGAATTTGAAGTCGCATCCGACGACTTTTCCTTCGGGAATGAAAGCACTTGCAGACTATGCGCATAGCAAAGGATTGAAGTTCGGGCTTTACTCGGACGCAGGGTTGGTCGAACTTGTTTTGCTTTTCTCCCAAGATTGAATCTCATTGTCGATGCAGAAGGAGAACTTGTATAGGACACCGAGCTGGCTCCGAGGACCACGAAATCCGGGACGCCAAAACATTCGCTTCATGGGTAAAACATTTGTCAAAGCTGCGACAGATTCCTCCACCTCACATTTGTTTCATTTTTCAACCAGGGCGTGGACTATCTCAAGTATGACAATTGCTTCCACAAAAAACATTACTACCCGCACCTTCGGTACGCTTTGAACGCGAGCTTAAGCTTTTTATTTCTGGTTTTCCTTGCTTGTAGTTACCCGGTGATGAGCGAAGCTCTTAACAAAAGTGGCAGACCGATATTCTATACCATCTGTGAATGGTGAGTGCATCTTCTTCAACATCTTGTTTACAATGCTTTTTTTTCTTTTTTCTTGCGCGTAGGGGTGAAGATCATCCCGCACTCTGGGCAGGCAAGTATGCAAACTCGTGGCGCACTTCTTTAGATGTCAAGGACAGATGGGACCGGTAAAATTTTGTTCTCCTTTTTTCTTTTTTTCCCGTGTGTGGGTCAATGTTTTCTCTCCTTCCAGAATCCAGATTTTGGCCGACGACAACAATATGTGGGCAGCGTATGCTGGTCCTGGAGGATGGAACGGTAAGCTGCCCAGTCTCTTTACATTCCTAGACGAAGAAAGAAAGACGAGAAAAAAAAAGAGAGATTTTTCTGCTGGCTTGTTCTTGAAGAGTGTGTTTTTTGTATTGAAACTTTTAGAGCTGGTCTCCAGATCCTGATATGCTTCAGGTTGGCAACGGACGCATGAGTGTGGCGGAGTATCGGTCGCATTTCAGCATCTGGTCTATCATGAAAGTAAGAGCTCTCACTTGTTTCATTCACTTCACTTCACCAAGTTGCTAAAATTTTGTCACAGGCGCCACTGATCATCGGGTGTGAGCTCAGGAAAATCCGAGAGGAACACCTGGAAATCTACAAAAACAAAGAGATCATCGACATCAACCAAGGTTTGCACAGGTGCTTTTGCATGGAAACTTAATCACGTTATATTTCTCCTGTGATAGATCCACTGGGGATTCAAGCTAGAAAAGTTAGCAGGCAGGGACGTTGTAAATGTCGTGAGGTACGACGTCACTGCGAAAATCTTTGTTCTTGCGTTGATCCTTGAAACAACAGGTCTGGGCAGGGCCGCTCTCCGGCAAGAGAATAGTTCTAGCGCTCTGGAACCGAGATTGGCGAAGAGTTGCCATCAAAGTGAATTGGTTTGATCTTGGACTGGAGCCGGGAGTGTCTGTTCGCGTTCGAGATTTGTGGAAGGTGCTGATACGACTTTGAATGATGCCTCTTTTAACGTTGTTTCTTGGTACCTCAGCATGAAGATTGGAGCGAGCGACAGCAGGATGGCTTCGAAGTCGCGATTGATTCCCACGATTGTGGAGTCTACATTCTCTCGGACGTGAGACTAACCTCGGACAACGTCTACGTGATCGCGGACCACGTTTTCTGAAGATGGTGATGATACACAAGTTTTTTGATTCCTTGAAAAGGAAAGAAACAAAGGTTAGCAGAAGATCCGGGATTTCTTTTGGCTTGCTTACCCCGTGTAGATAGATTACATTCCCAAGTCGTTTAGAATGCGTTCAATGAGGATCTCTTTCTTGCCGCTGAGCGGGAGCTTCTTTCCCGCGAGATAATACTTGAGCTCCACCACGGTGAGTTTCTTAAGCTGCAACGAAGGAAAAGGTATTTTTCCGTTTGGAAAGAACGAAGAGCTTACCTCGCCGTCCAAAGCAAGCTGACGCCAATTGTATTTTTCTGATTCTTTGGTCGCTACTTCAGCAGCAGCCTTTCTCTTTTGAGCTGTGACGCTTCCTTTCGCCCGTTCGGCCTCCGCAGCTGCCTCTTCTTGGTCATGATCAGCCCCGTAGACAGTGTCTTTGAATGCTTGAACTACGGCAACTATCGACGGCCTGAAAAGCATAGTTTCAGCCATGTTGGAAAATGAAGATCAAAGTACCACGCACCTTTTCATGCCTTCCTCGTCTGGCAATGTACAATCCTCGACTTCTTCCACGGTGTCTTCCTGGAGTCCAAGAGCTTGCAGATTTGAATAGTGTCTTTGAAGGGCTGAGAAAAGACATGAAGAAAAGTTCCGGCAACGTTAAGATGCTATGGATAGCACTAACCTGGGTTTTGTATATCGTATACTGTAAATTCTCGCAAGTGGAGCTTCTTGATGAGAGCCATTGCTTTGTCGATATGCTCTTTTGCCGCTATTTCAACTCCACCTTTGCTCAGATTTATCTGTGAAAGAAACTGGTATCAGAGAGAAAACATGGAAGCCTGACGCCAACTACCTTTTCAGGCTGTCGAATGTCCTCTGCATATGGAAGGTAGATCATATGCATTCCAGGTGGCTGGACTTGCCCATACTCGTTCACAATCTCTTCCTAAAACAGAAACTCGATCAGAACGAACAGCTGGCATTCGTTGCCTTCAAGTACCTGGGGAACCAAAGCAACCAGGTGAGGAGACGTCGAATTTCCATGAAACGCCAAAGCAAACCTACACAGCCACGTTTCAGATAAGAACTGGTAGAATAAGAGACTCACTTTTTCTGCCGGATCAAAGACCTATGTAGCGCAATGAAAAGACAGGTGCTGCCTTTGATGGCCTGCACGTAGCGTTTAGAGAAAATCTCTAGTTTTCCAGTCAAGCCACTTACCTCTTCACTAGGATACAGGAACGTAGCTGGCCTCAAGTTGTGATAGTCTTTAAGGCAAGCAATTGATTTGAAGCCTAGAAGTCGGAGTTGTACGTCAGTTATCTTTTTCACTTCTGCAAGCTCTTCGCGTGTCATGAGAACTCGCTTACTGCATCAAACGCATGGATGATGAAACTGACAGCCAATGTCATATACCTGTTATAGTGTGTAAAACGTTTCGTAGATTCCGTCACTATAGCGCCCGTATCCGTGCATATGAGAGCTCGTTCAGACTGCAATGGCTGTTAAAACTCAGGTAAATACGTTGAAGGAGTTACCTTCACAGGCTTGTTTGTCGTGGAATCAAGCCACTCGTACTTGCCTACATAGAAAAGCTGAGAATGAGTTTTACAATCAGCCAAAGTCTTCAACCTGTCGTAGCCGGCCGAACCATCGCATATGTCCCGAGACCGATACTAGTCCCATTGGCAATGGTGAACGTTATTTTCCTTACAACACGCTTTTGAAAAAGCTTCTTTCTCATCCTAGCCTTGAGTTCTTCAAATCTACAGCAACACGAGCTTTAGGTAGTCTGCAAAGCTTCGTACCAAAACATACCTTTTTTCTGCACCAACCATAAAATTCGACAGTTCGTCATCTTCCATGGTAATCATATCCTGCAAAAAAATTGTTCCAGGATCTGGTTATGCAAAACCCGAGCGAACCTTATAAAAGATGTTGAGATTAAATTCTTCTCCAGGCCTGCTCATCGGGTAGAGTTCAATCGAAATTCCAAGATCTTGCGAGTCCTGGGGTTGCAATAACATTACTGATCAAATAAAATAATCACAGCAAAGTACCTTTGCCCGTTGTATAGTTGTTCTCCTCATGTCAGCCTTTGTAACGGGATCCGCATTTTCGAAAGGATCATCGTTGTTCGTAAACAGCAGAATTCGCTTGCCTAGATTCTTTGTAGCACTGAAAGAAACCATTGAAGGAACAATCGAAGGGAAGCTTTCCAGCGTACCTCTTTCCGAGCATGCCTTGTGCGACCCAAAGGCCATTGTAAAGCGGATTTTCTCTGGCCCCGTAGTTAGAACCATCGTTGCTCCCTATAACACTATCAAAGTTTTCTGAGATGGAGAAGACATTAGATGGCTGAAAGTAGCTGGACAAAAAGCACGGTACCGCACAAGGAAGAAGTATCTTTGATAAAAGAAGCCGAGAGCTTGCTGAGCTCCTTAAACGTATAAACACCCTCTGAGGAGAGCGAGTTATTTTTTTCGCGCTGCAAAATTCGTTAAAATTTTTTTTTCCTCGCATTCCACCAGGAGAACCAAGGCTTACCGTGTTGATGAAGCAAATTCCCACTTCATCGGAGTCTCTAGAAATGATCCTCGTCTTCAAATCTTCAGTGATAGATTCCATCACAGCTTCCAAGTAAGTTTTAGTCTCTCCCTGCAAAGAAATCTTTCATCAAAGACCAAAATGGAGCTCGACCTTAGAATACCCGCTTTGTCTGGAGCTGGAGAAGCATATCTTTCCCAGCGTCGATCAGAAACACGACGTAATCCCTGGTCGCCCCCTCCTGCCATGGCGATGCGATCAAGAAAGAGATCAAACACGCTAGAAATCCCTGGCGCATACCACCGCGTACTCGTCCTCCTCGTCCTCCTCCTCATCGGCGTATGGATCGTCGCCATTGTCCGCCATCGTCTTCCTCAAGCTTCTAAAGCCCTAATCCTCGAAAATGAGTCAGCCCTAAACTCTCAATAATGGCGCTCATAAGATGCTTTGGATATTTTAAAAAAGCATTACATTAAAGAGCTCCCTGATTGAGTGAAAGTACTTAAACACGTGAATATTGCTGTGGAATGCGGTAAGACGAGCACAAGGCAACAAATTTCCAGGACCGTAATCCGTTCCAGATCGAACATTGATCCAACTGCATCTTTCTATTTAAAGCCCTAATCCCTTGAGAGTGAGTCAGCCCTAAATTCTCAATAATGGCGCTCTTGCTGCGCCTTGTCCCAGGGCGATCGCGATCGATCGCGAGGTCTCTCCGGCCTCATCGATTCCTCGCGTCTCTGGCTCATGGCGATGATGCCGCGGCCGAGGGCATGGCGGCGCAGATTCTCGACTACGCGGCGGCGGCGAGGAAGAAAGGAGGTACAACATTTCGCGCTTTTGCGATCTAGCTAGTGATCCTTGTAGCAGGCGCCGGGTATTTGGATGCAATGCAGGTTCTAGAGCATGGCGTGAGCTTTGTGAAGAATTCCGGGCCCTCGGCTGCCAATGCGCTGTGTAAGATCCAGTTCGCGATAGCGAACTTCCACGCTGATCAGTAAGATCACTAGGAGTCTTTGGTCTAAGCTTAAATTTTTCTTGTATTTTTTTTCTTGTAGAGGGAAAGTCTCGGACGCTACTGAGGTATTACATGGTGTTTCGAGCAATGAGTCGGCTGGATTGGAGGTGCGGGGTCAGTTTACTCTCGCTTTTTTCGTCGGTGGAATGTTTTTCGCTGATTGTTTTATGGTGGCTAGTTTCTGCTCTGGAAGCTTTGGTAGGACTCTACTTGCAAATACACGAGGTTAGTTTTCATTTCTCGTTTGGATAAGCATCTCTGGTTATGGTGTTTTCGTCGTGCTTTTCTTCTAGGATGAATTGGCGTCCGCTCAATTGCAAACTATATCAGAGCTTGCTACTCCGGAATCTGATATTGGACCTCGATCGCAAGCATTAGCCGGACTCGTCAAACTATCTGGAGGACAGTTTGATGCTGGTATGAGTATTTTCCTTTTATTGTTTTGATGATGATTGTTTCTTTACTCCAACACGCGTATAGCAGCGGCTTCGTGTTTTGAGGCATTTCCACCTGATACAAAGCAAGGTTGGTTTTTATCATTTCTTTTCATGCTCGTAGTTTACGTTGAATTCTAGGAGCTGCCATCCTTGCTCGAGCTGAAGTTGCCCACGTAAGAGGCGCTGACAAGGAAGCTAAAAACTTTTACGAAAGCGCTGCTGCGCTTGCAAAAAACGAAACTGACAGAAGCAAAGGAGCCACAATGACTTCTACCGAAGTTCATTCAGCAGCTCTAGCAGGTTTAGGACAGCTTTCAGCTGACCTTGGGTAAGCAAATTTTCATATCTCTAGGCGCTCGTGATTATCTTTTATTACAGACGCTTTGATGAAGCAGAGAAAATTTTGACAGAAGCTCTTCAAGTCGCTGAAAGCATTAGTGGTAATTTGGAAAACAGCCTGTTTCTAAAGCTGATAGCTAATATGATACTGCAGGTGAGACGCACGCACGAGTTGGACTTGTGTTATCTTGCATGGCGGATCTCTACAGTAGACGAGCGAAGGCCGAGAATAGCGGGTTCATGATAGCAGAGGTTTGTAATTTTTTCTTGTTGTAGCGTATACATTTTCATCTTCTACAAAATTTCAATGCAGGGCCTTTATCGCAGATCTTTGAACTTGTTGAAAGCTCCCCAGCTGGAAAAAGGTAGAAGCTCTAGCGAAGCTCATGTCTAACTGCCGCAAGCTCATGTTTCTAACAGAAGCAAAGGACAAACTTCAATATCTGGACGCCATTGCAATCACAAGAGGTATTCAGACGTTCCACACTTCGTTCTCTAATTCTAGTTCTGGACAATCGCAGCTAGATATGCCGATATCCTGTCTAGCGTGGAGCAGCGAGCAAGCGAAGCTGAAAGACTAAAATCCTGGGCTACTGCAGCGTGGAGAAACCAGCGTTCTCTCTCTGATGTACTAAAAGCCGCAGCGAGAGACAACGGATCAAAGCTCCACTCCGTGATCGACGTGCGGCTTGGTAGAGTTTTTTGAGACGATCACAGGTTAAATAATCTTTGCAGTTCTTGGTGGTTTTAACGTCCTCTACTTCGAATAGATACAGGGATCGATCCTTCTAGAGTGCCTCTTATCGGCACATCCAGTTTCCACCTATTGCGTCTTTACACCTCGGCAAGCTTTGCAACCAAGTGGTGTTGTCCTCCGTGGAGTCCGACGTGTCGAGAACACAGCCACCATTTTTTCTTTGGAGCAACTTGGCTAGCAAGCTCCTCCCTGTGAGAGAAGTGGCGATGGCAGCAGCAACAGCAGCAGCATTGGTACCATCTGGACTTGCCAGCAGCAGCTTGAATGGGACGAAGCTACGAATCAAGCCTACAGCGCAAGTTTCAATGAGAAGATCCACAGCCAAGTAAGTTACTTCAAAGAGGAAAACTTACAGTGGAACTGTTCCTTCGAAAACTTCCAGGCTCGGTGTCTCGGCGAAGTATGGAGAGAAGAGCGTCTACTTCGACTTGGGAGATATCAACAACACCACCGGAGCTTGGGACTTGTATGGATCGGATACGCCTTCCCCTTACAATGGACTCCAGGTGTGTCTTCTCTTTCTTCTTGATCCACGGAGATGAAACTTTTTTGCTTTCTCGTTTCGTAGAGCCAATTCTTCCAAATCTTCGCTGGCGCTTTCACCAAGAGAGGGCTGTTGCTCAAGTTTCTACTGCTTGCTGGTACCGGTGCTGTGGCTTTCACGGGCGCTAATGCACCTGCGAGTCTCGTCCCTGTCAAGAGAGGAGCTGTTGGGCCGCCGACGCCTGGCCCGAGAGGCAAGATCTAGATCGAGAAACGCTGCTAGCCACCATGAATGTAACTTATGCTGGAACTTCGTCACTCTGGATAAGAAACCAAAGCTTGAGCTTGCTCGTGATTCTCTTTGTGATCAAAATCTAGCGAGCTTGGATCTGGTCAAGAACTTAAGCTGGCCAGCCACGGCAAGAGCTGCTCGTGCACAAGCTCTGGCCCGTCGTCGTGAGGACAGTGTCCAACGTTTTGTAGCACTCGAAGCTTTACGTTTGGACGTGAGGATGGAAGGCTGGTAAAGTACTTGCCCACTGGTCCATCCACCGGAGTGAAAGGATCGGTGTCGCCCCATAGCACCAAGATCGGGCAGTGGATCTTGTCGATGAGAGCCATGGGAGTCGGGCCTGGAGGACCAGTTATGATCGAAACGAATGCTTCCAGAGCTCCTGGATCCTCCGCAGGCCTTCTGATAATCTGTGGAGGCGAAAGTTTGAGATAAACTCGAGAAGGAATCGAGTACCTCTATGAGTTCTTGGTCCACAGCTTCCTTGTTGACGTAAACTGACGATAGAAGAGTCTTAAGATTTTCCCTGTAGATTTGCAAAGCTTTAGAAAGTTTGCGCAGCCATGGTGAAGCTTACCTCGACTTCACTCGGTTGAAGAGACGAGAGGAGATTCCTGGTTGCTTGAGTAGCCAGTCTATGAGCGAAAGCAAGGGTGATGCTAGCTTCAAGCGCCAGTCATCCACCACTGCTTTGTTGTTCATTCCTCCAGCACAGTTTAAAAGCACTGCTCCTCGAATCAATCCTTCAGTGGCATCTAGAGAGAAAAAGAAGAGAAGATCCATGCAAGTTAGAGAGAGAGAGAGAGAACGATCAACTTACTCGCAGTAGCAGTAAGACATGCGAGACTGCCGATAGAATTTCCAACAAGAACAGTCGGAGCCGACTCCATAACATCTTTGATGAAATCTAGCAAAAGCTGCTCTACGGAACGCCGCACTGTAGCAAGTTCTTAGCACGATATCCAAAAAAGAAGAAACAAAACCAGCAAGAACACAAACCTCTCCCCATGTTTCCATTGTGTAAGAAAAGTTTGCCGGTTTCTCAGACGCGCCTAGTCCCAGAAGATCGATTGCGTAGACCGAATAGTTCTTCGCAAGAACAGGGATGTTTCTGCGACCAAATTCACGGATTTCACAAGCTAGAATATCATCCAGAGAACCAATTACCTCCTGAAATGCCCGATAGAAGCCCCAAATCCATGGACGAGAAGAATCGCGGGGCCTCCACTCGAAACGAGAGCAGCGTAGTTGATCTTGTACAACCCCTTCCACTCCCAGACCTTGCACTGGCTGTAAATCTCTTCCATTCCCGGGCCGATGTCTCCAGGAGCGACCTCTTGCTGCTCCTCTCCACCGCCTGCCAGGGCAATTCCAATGCTCGCCTCCGGCAATCCAACAACGCTGCTGCTCGCGCTTGCTTCGCTTTCTTGAGACGACGATCCAGCTGCGCAACTCACGCGATTTCTGTAAGCAATGCGGCATCTTCCCCCCTGGATCGAAAATCTAGAAGAAGAAACGCTGAGAGAAGCGTTGAGGGCTATTGCCGCCATAGCCAAATTAACGTTAAGTTTCTAGGGTTCTTCATTTTCCCGCCATTTTCTTTCCTCTTTCTTCTAGGGCTTTAGCGAGCGGCTATGGCGGGTGAGTCGATTTCTCTGCGCGCCGCTGTTGACGACGACGAATGCAGGTGATCCGATGGAAATCGACGGATTCAAGCAACAGCAAGGGCAGGCGCTTTGCAATCCCGAGCTTTTGAGCCTCTATTACAGTGAGATTGTTCGTTCTAGTGTGCTAGCGCCTAAGCTGGATCGCGATTCTCCAGGACGGATTTTCCCTTTCGCTGAGATGTACAAGTGGCTATCGTATGGCAATGGTACGTTTCTAGACGATACCAGTCTAGATCTAACTTCGGTCGTCTTTTCGTAGATGGAAAGCATCCTTCTTGCGATTCTTCGTTTTTTGGGCGGAGAGAGTTCTCTTTCACTCTGGAGAACGACATTTATTTGCGGTACATGTCTTTCCGCGATGCGTCGGAATTTGAAGCTACTGTGTGTGAAAAGCGTCCTCAAAAAATTGATATTGGAGCGGTTTACAGTGTGGATGTAAGTTCCTGGTTGTGTTTTTTTTCTTTCTTTCCTAACACTTTTTTCCTCGCAGCCTGCCAAGCGCTTAGCGTATGCCAACGTTTCCAATGATAGAGTTTTTGCTCCCGTCGAGAAGGAATTGGTATTTGATGTTGTGAGTGCCAGAACTTCTATATATAAGGGTCAGAAACTCACCACGCTTGCAGGACATGACAGACTACGATGACATTCGAAACTGTTGTTCTGGAGCCGACATTTGTTTGAAGTGCTGGCCGCTCATGACAATAGCTATCAAAGTTGTTGATTCGACTTTGCGAGGTAGCGGTCGTCTGATTTTGGTTGAATGCTCATTGGTTTCTGGCGCCTAGAGGACTTCGGGTTTGATCACATCCTATGGGTATATAGTGGACGACGAGGAGTACACTGCTGGGTGTGTGACGCACGAGCTCGCAAGCTGACTAATGAGCAAAGAGCGTCCATTGCTGACTACTTTCGAGTTTATAAGGTTTGAGATTTAATTCTTTAGTCGTGAGGATCTGACTTCGTGAAAAGGGTAACGAGAATAACAACAGGAAGGTGTCCTTGCCTACACATCTTCATCCATTTCTAGCGTATGTGTCTCGTTCTTTTTTGTTAGTTATTGATTCGACAATGGACATGACAGGAGAACTTATTCACAGTTTTTGAGTCGCTATTTTGACGAAGAAATCCTGATAAAGCAGAGTTTGCTGCATCCTCAAGAGAATGCTGACAAGGTTCTTAAGCTGCTCTCTGGTGAAGGTATGTCAATGCAGTATATGTCTAGCGTTTATTCCGAGCTTCCAGTTCAATTGGAGGAGAAAAAGCGTAATAATACATTGCTCCCTGACAAGATAAATAGACAGCGCTGGGCAGATTTACAGAGGAAGCTCATGCAGAAGCGAGGTATTCAAAGAGAGCTTGTATTTACTTATACGTACCCAAGACTGGACCTGGAGGTGAGGGAACAACTTTAAGTTATTTCCCCTCTTGTTTTGCTCACTGTTGTATAACAGGTAACTAAGAAAATGAATCATCTGCTAAAGGCGCCTTTCTGCATCCATCCAAAGACTGGTAATGCATGGCTTACCATCTTAAACTGTTTTATCACTTGTCAGTTGTGGTGTAGGACGCGTCTGCGTGCCTATCGATCCTGCAGACTGCGACAATTTTGATCCAACGACTGTCCCGACATTGCCAGAGGTACTGGTCTTCAGATTAAAACATGTAAATTCTAGTTTTTCTTCTGTTTCCAGCTGCTCAATGATCTAAACAACGGCGATGCGCGTCCAGTATCCAAAGGTACCGGCTCTTTCTTTTTAAGTTCTCACATTTTCCTGTACAGATTGGGAACGCACGTCCCTTGCCAAGTCAATTCGCTTCTTCAAGTCGTCCTTCCTCGAGCCTCTTCTCAAGGAATGCAGAGTAAGTTTTTCTTTTTTTTTTTCCGCAACAGGTTTGAAATTCCTGGCCGTGCAAAATGCAGTGTCAGCTGGAAGCAAGCCATCACAAGAAGCTGCAAGAAATGTCGGCAAGACCAAACTTTACCTGGTAGTTTTTAAATGAAAGCAATGTAACCTTTCATTCATGGTAAGAATAAAAGCTATTGTTCATCAATGTGTTTGGATTTAACGTTGTGATATTTTAGGGCCTTGGCTTTCGAGCCTGTCTTCTCACTGTTCGCTGTGTCTACTGTAGTTCTTTTCGGCTTGCATTAGCAGGTCTCGTTTTGCTTCTCACCTTGTGTGACAGTTTGCCGTCTTCGTGTCTCTAGAAATGGGGGAAGCGAACATTGGCCTCAAGCCAATAGACGCGGAAGAATTTCGCAAGCATGCTCACGAGATGGTGGACTTCATTGCAGATTATTACCGTGATATTGAGAGCTTTCCCGTTCGCAGTCAAGTCTCTGTACGTTTTTCCTTCTTCCTCCAATTTCTAATTTGCCTGACACTTGATTTATTGAGCAGCCTGGATACTTGAAAACTTTGTTGCCTCCGGCTGCGCCTGAAGATCCCGAAACGCTGGAGGAAGTTTTTGCCGGTATGTTCTTTTTCCAAGCGCAATAAAATGCCGAGTTTCCTTCCTTTCAGATATTCAGAGCAAGGCAAAGCCCGAATTTTTTCGGATATTATCCGTCCAACAGTAGCACGGCAGGGCTCTTGGGGGAAATGTTAAGTGCTGGATTGAACATTGTTGGATTTAGCTGGATAACTTCGCCGGCGGCGACAGAGCTGGAGACCATTGTTCTTGACTGGCTTGCAAAGCTGTTGAAACTTCCCGACGAGTTTCTATTTGGAGGTATGGTGGAAATTTTAGATTATAAGATCATTATTCTTACACTTTACAATGCAGGTAATGGCGGCGGAGTGATTCAAGGGACTGCTAGTGAGGCAGTTGCTGTGGTGCTACTCGCTGCTCGAACTCGAGCCATTTCAGGAAACAAGAGAAAAGGTTTGTCGGAAGCGGAGATTCTTTCAAAGCTGGCGGTGTATACGTCAGATCAAACTCATTCCTGTCTGCAAAAAGGATGTGTGGTACGCCATTTCAAGCTTCTAGTCCTTTCAATCCGTGATAACCTCTTCGTGTTTGTTGTACAGATTGCTGGGATTCCTCTTGAAAATCTAGTGATTGTTCCAACTGATAGCTCAACAAATTATGCAGTATCACCAGCTGCGATGAGACAAGCACTTGAGGATGGCGTCAAGCAGGGACTTTTGCCATTCTTCCTTTGCGGGACTGTGAGTTCGTGCAACTAGCTTGTCTCCCTCCTTACGCCTGTTATGTTCTTTCCTAGGTGGGAACTACATCATCTTCGGCCGTGGATCCATTGTCTGCTTTAGGAGATATTGCAAAGGTATAGCTCTTTTCTTTTCAATTTCTATCGATCTCAAAATGCAAGAATGTTACCAGGATTTTGGAATGTGGTTCCACGTTGACGCTGCCTACGCTGGCTCTGCGTGCATCTGCCCAGAGTTTCGGCATCACCTGGATGGAGTTGAGAAAGCAGATTCGTTTAACATGAACGCACATAAGTGGCTGCTTACAAACTTCGATTGTTCTGCTCTTTGGGTGAAGGTAAAGTGGTGTTCATTCATTTTCCAAGAGTTCTTATACCTTTTGCTTTTCTCGATAGGAATCCAGCCATCTGGTGTCAGCTCTTTCTACAACACCTGAGTTCTTGCGTAACAAGGTAGCGCATATCTTTCTCACTTTCGTGTTTAAGTTTCCTTTTCCTTTCTTTGTTGTTCCAGGCATCTGATTTAAATCAAGTTGTCGACTACAAAGACTGGCAGATACCTCTCGGCAGAAGATTCAGGTTCTAGTCTTCCGTTTTTCCCTTTAAAATCAAATCCTTAGGAAACATTGTAAAACAGGTCGTTGAAGCTGTGGTTTGTCATGCGCATGAATGGCGCTTCTGGATTACGGAGCTACATAAGGAACCATGTCCGCCTTGCAAAGCGCTTCGAAGGCTTCGTGCGTGAAGACCCACGCTTCCAAGTAAGGCACACGTTCTATTCTTCAAACACGCTGGCACCATTTTGCAGCTTCTAGTTCCTCGCACATTCGGCTTGATTTGCTTCAGGCTAAAGCCAGAAAGCGATGATCCGGACAACGGACGCACTCTAAACTCGACGCTTCTGGAGACTGTCAATTCCAGCGGAAGAATGTTTATCACTCACACGGTAAGCCAGCAAAACTATCGCGAATCCGAGCTCTCTTCTCAAAGTTATACTTGCCTGAATAGGTGCTCTCGGGCGTCTACACGCTGAGGATGGCCATCGGCGCTCCACTCACGCAAGACAAGCACGTAGACGCTGCGTGGAAGCTCATCCAAGAAGAAGCCACCACCCTCTTTGAGATAAACTTGGTTAAGGGCCCTTCGCATATTCTTGCGAATAATCTTTGTTCCGAAATTTAAAAGACTTGGTTTAGGGTTTAGGTGCTTCGGATATGCTTGCGAATAATCTTTGTTTTTAGTATATTCTCTGATATTTGGATATGATCTGGGCCATTGATTCTAGGGTTCCTCGTGGTTTTGCGGCGATAGACTAGAGTCACTCAAGCGCCTCGTGTCCATGGCGCATTTTGAGCGCTGAAAGTCGCCAAGATCGATGTCTTCCACGGGATACCAGCAGCGCTGATGATCCTTTCCATCAGCTTTGTCAAATTTCTCGTGCCACATCTGTGAAGAATGATCCGAAGAATGATCTATTCCAATCGTGTTAGATAAATGTTTGCTAAGTGTAACGCTATTTACAGATCAAGGCCCGGCACCATCGCCACCGTCACGACCCAATACTCGGTTCCCACGGGCAGCTCATACGAGTTTGCTCGATGCCTCCCCATCACCGACGAGGAAGAAGAAGCTCCTCCCTCCAAGATCGAGAAGCTGGAGGAGCTAGCACCGGGCGGCGCTGCGACGGTGTGGTGCTCGATGTGGACGATCTGGCCGACTATATACTTCCGCCGCTGCTCGTTCTTGCCGTGGAACAGCGCGATGGATTCCTCCGATAGAAAATAGTTTGGGCAGTTCCGGTTGAGCGCTTCGTAGTGACCAGCCGCGTTTGGAGCGAAGAGTGCCAGCTCGTGGACCTCGAATCGTGTCAGGCAGATCTTCTCCTTGCTAGCCTGCAAGGTTTCCACAGAGTCTCCCAAGGTGTCAAGAACCAAAAAAAAAAACGGGTTTTTCTTTAGAAAAAATCTCCAGCCATTCTCTCTAAGTCGTCTAGAGTAAGTACCTGTTTCTCAAGTTTACACTTTGCGAAGAGGCTCTTGGCCATCTCGGCTTTGTTCTCCACCTCCTTCCTCAGCTGGCTCTGCGAGCTCTCCGCAAGCTTGACGCGCTCGGCGAGCTCGGCGCGCTGCTGAGCCAGAAACGTCACCCTGTCCGCTAGGATGCTGATAAACGATCGAAACTCCGCTCCCACATCGTCTCCACCATCACTGCCAAAGAACTAACTTAGCAAGCCTTCCAAAGAACTAACTTAGCAAACTTTCCAAAGCGCGGACGAACGACTTACCTCGGCAGTGAAGCGGACAAGGAGCGTAGAGAGTCCATGAAACCGGCAGGGCCACCGGCCGGAGAGGCAATGCAGCTCCTCAGCCTCTCCAGCAAGCCGCGAAGCTTGACGCTGGAGGCGCGAAGAACGTTGTACTCGGACGCTCGGCGGTCGGCCGCGCAGAGGTGGATTTGCGCCTCCTCCCGTGCCTCGTGAAGCCTATTCTCCAGATGCGCAGAGTTCATCTGACACTGCCTGAGTAGCTCCGCGCTCGTCTCAAGCTCTTCTCGAAGCCTCACCACCTCTGAAAGCACGGGCTCGTCCGCCGGCCACTCCCTCGTCTGTGAGAACACGTCCTTGACTGGATGCTGGTTCTTCGCTTCCTCGGACTGTGCGCTACTGTCTTCCTGTCCCGTGGCACCATCCATCGGCTCCACCGCTGCTCCAGTGATAGCCGAGTTATCCGACTCTTCCCTGCGTTGATCTTCACTCGACACCATCGTATCCAAGTCGGTTCTCTCACGTTCCTCTTGCTCCCTCAGCCTGTCTTCCAGCTCTCGGATCCGGGACTCGTATGAACTACACCGGCCCTCCTTCTCGGTTATGATTCTGTGCAAGTGTTTGGCATGCTCGTCTTTCAGCCTCAGAGCCTCGGCAGTTCTCTCGGCCGAGCTCAAGTTCCCACGTATCTCTTGGTCCTCGGCATCCCCCAGGATGTCTGGCTGAAAGCCGGGGTCGATGCTGCAGATAAATGCGATGGACGCTGCTAACTGAGCTCTCAGCCTGGCATTCTCGACCTCCAACTTACTCGTGCCAGATATCTCGTCAGTGCAAAAGTCTTCCTTTCCTTCTGGATCACCCCAGTCGTCCGCCGGAGAATCAGCCTTGAGTGACCCTGTTACCTGATAAGGAGCATACTTCTCCACATCCGCCAAGTCGATGTCCAGTAAGTTGGAGTCGAAAGACGCGAGGTTGATGAGGAACTGACTGGGAACCTCAAGCAGTCCCATTTGCGATAAAAGCTCTCGAGGCAAAGCAGCCGTGTGCGTTTGTAGAAACTCTTCCCTGCGGACCACCTCTTTCTCCCTCTTGGCGGCCATCCTCTCTGCGAGTTGCCCGGCCTGCCCGAGGTAGAGCTTCATATAAGACTTCCTCCTCACGACCTCGGCGAGGCAAGCCTTGTAAGAACTCCCGACCCTGCGGAACTGCTTGAGCATCTCAAAGTTCTCGTCCTGGCGAGCCATGACTTCCCGGAACCCGGATATCTGGTTCCTCGTCAACTTTATACTGGCCTGGAGCGACGCCACGCTCTGCATCCTCTGGTGGACGCACAGCGTCATCGCGTTCTTCCCCACGACCAGCTGCTGGAGAAGCTTTGCGAGCTCGGCATCGCAGTCCTCCATTCTCGGCAAGTGACTCTTGACCTGCACATCATGCATCGGGCCGAGAGCCAACAGTGCGTCCTGAACTTGCATGGATGAATACCTTCCGTCGGAGTAGTCATCGCTCAGCCTCTTCACCTTGGTCACATCCTTCCTGGAAAGAAAAGAAGCAAGATCATTTCAACTTCCACTAGAAACTTCATAAAAAACTCTTTTTCTTACCTCAACGACTGAAGGATCGTCGACTGTTCATCGATAAACCTTGCGTGCAATCCAAGAGTCCGCTCCAGATTCTCCAAGCTCACCGCGGATGGCTCCTCGAGAAAGTCTTCCACCCTCCGCTTCAAGCCCGAGTACTCGGACGCCAGCCCGGCCACCTTCGTGCAGAGCTGCTTGTGATACACGCCACAGTCGTCGGCCGACTTGCGCAAGCTCCCTTCCTTGACGCAATCCAAGAGAGTGTACCGTGTCTCCGTCCTGAGGGCCGGATGGAGCTTGCAAGCACGCAATCTCTCGATATCCTTGCCCAAGTTTGCCAGAACCTCCGTGTGCTGCTGGCTCTGCCGCTGGAAATCCTCCACAAACTCGCCATAGACGTGCTGGATGCTGCGGTAGTGCTGCTCCATGCTTCGCCGGACAGTCTCTAGCGCCATGTCCTGGACACGAATCTCTCGAGCGAGCTTGTGGCATGCATCGAGCTTCTTCTGGCTAGCGCTCAAGATGGCGTGACCCTTCTGGAAGTTATACCGGAATTGCCTCTCGGAAGAAACCAAAGGAGAGGAGCTTCCACTCCTCTCGGCCGCTGGAGCCTCCGGAAGAACTGGCACGACATTCTCTGGAGCTCCCTGCTGTGGCGGCAGCGGCGAATTCGGCGCTAGTCGCTGGCGATTGAAGAGGAAGATCGGCCTCTCGTCGTCTGGGAGGCGGTAGAATCCCAGTGACCTGTGTGAATCCAAGCGGGCATCGCCGGAGAAGAGGAGCTGGTCTTGCCTGAGCACGCCGGTGAGCGACGCCAAGACATCCTGGATTTCTTCCACCCTCGTCCCCGCCTGGCAGTCCTCCAGCTCGAAGGACTGGCCGCTCTCGGCGACATGGATCATCATCGTTGGCGATGGAAATTTTGCCCTTTCACATTCCTCGCCCTCTTCCAAGAGCGCGATCGATCGATGGAGCGAGGAGAGGAGACGAGGAAGCGTGGATCACTGCCACACGCGTCCTAAATGCTTACTTGAATTGCGCCCGCGGGGAAAGCAAGGATTTCTCCACTCGAGGACGCCGCCCTAACTGAAGCCCTCGCTGGTTTATAGGGTTTAGATGCTTCCAAACTTACAATCCTTGGGTACAATTAGCCCCTTAATATAGTGGTTGTGCGTAACCACTAATTAGAAGTCCTCCATGGCTTCTCGCGATCATGCTCGGTGCTCTTTTCCATGCAAGCCAAGCTTACACTGCTGTTCAAAGGCGCAAGCACAAAGATCTATCGCACAGTTTTCCGGATTGCTTGTTGTGATTCATGGACGCTAAAGAACGAGTTTACCGAGAACTACGAGCTTGTAAAGGGAGCACTAGCAAAACTGGGCAATGAGGATGAGGGCCCGTTTCTCTGTGAAGCCCACGAGCCAGGAGCACTGCCCAAGCTCTTCAAGGCCATGTCATCCCTCGGCCAAAGTGGTGGTGCTGCCATTTGAGACCTTTAGGGACTTTCTCTTATGTGTCAATGGCTTCTGTTATATAGCTCGAATTTTTTTTATATTAACACTCTTTCCTATTATCATTACAAATGCATAATACATTTCATTTATAATTTTTGAACTGATTCTTCTAGAATTTCAACACTTAAATTGCACTTTTATAGAGTCGAAAGTATATTTTTTTAATATACAGAGAACACAATTTCACATTGAAAAACTATAACCACTAGCAACGTTCTTAAAGATTTTTGATAATAATTATATTTTATAAATATTTCTATAAGTTCTTTTTTTTCAATTTTTGCTATGTAAAATACATTTAGTATTGTGAGTGCATGGAATATGGAAAGGGAATACAGAAATGTGCATATCAATTAGCCCAAAAACCCTAGCTTATATACAAGAGCGAGTGGTCTGGATTGAAACCAATCCGACGGCTACCAAAATCCACTACGCTAATATTAGTATACGGCATCGTAGCCGTACACTTGGCCCTCACATCATCCCCTCCTCTCGGAATAATGGAAGGCCGTCAGGGTTCTCTTGTAGATGGGCCGGGATCTGGAGGAACGTCAGGAGGAGGCATTGGTGGATCTGTAGACGGTATTAACTGCTCCTGATCCCTTTGTATGAAGCGTTTTAACCGCTGCACATGCACAATCTCCGGAGGATCGGCCTGCTGAACGTCATGCCGAACCTCATAAACTTGTGGTCCAACTTGCCGCAACACCCGATACGGTCCTTTCCACTGCGCAAGGAGCCCCTTAGATAAACCACGTACCGTAAGATGGGGAAAACAGATTAACACACTTTGTACTCCGCAGGTGGACGATGATGGGAATTGTAACGCCGTTGTTGTCCCACTTGTACGCGGCCTAAGTGTTCAGCAGACTCTACTCGGACAAGTGGAAGAATGCTTGTCAAATATTGATCCCATGACCTAGCATCAGGAGCTCGTGGCAATCGCGAAGGTAAACCCAGCTCTGTTGGTAATATTGGATCATGACCATATAGAAGTTTATATGGTGAAGCACCAACAAAACTCTGCACCCCTGTGACATAGGCATACCGAAGAGACGGCAAATAACCATCCCAATCCGAATGTTGAAAGTTCACATACTTCGCAATCATCCCTTTGAATGTCCGAACGAGCCGTTCCACCAGACCGTCTGATTGTGGATGATAAGCACTCGTAAAAGTGTGGCGTATCCCCAACCGAGATGTCAAAACATGAAATACCTCAGCCATAAATGCAGGACCATTATCCGAAAGAATCCGCTCTGGACAAGAATGCTGGAACACCACTCGATTGAGGAGGAAGTATCCAACAGCAGTTGCAGAAGCACTAGCAAGAGCACCAACTTCCACCCAACGAGTCAAGTAGTCAGAAGCAATAATAACATACTCATTGCCAGCAGTCGATCGCGGAAAAGGTCCCATAAGATCAAACGCCACCAACTCAAACGGACGAGAAACTGCAATTGACTCCAACCGTCTTTCCGCAGCACAAGGGGGAGTATTACGAGCTTGGCACCAAACGCAGCTACGCACATACCGGATAATATCACGTCGCATCTCTGGCCAATAGAAAGATCTGCGCAGCTTCTCGGTGACACGACGGTGTCCCATATGCCCACCTAGAATAGGAGAATCATGGTAGGCATGGAGAAACCGCGGAATAAACACCGAAGGCACCACCAGCCGTAAATGATCAGCAGGATCCGTCCCCACAAAATAAAGAAGGCCATCTTCAAGGCGATATTGAGAATGTAAATGCCGAAAAGGCAAGTCATCAGCAAGTGATGCAGGATTCTCAAACCCATCTCGAAGCCTTCGAATCCACGGCTCAATCTTTTGAGCCTCGCGAACCTCATCAAGAGAAGGTAGATCTTGCTCTATGCCCTGTGAGCACTGAACGTCAATGACAGCGACCGCCGACGGCACAGAATCCTCATTTAGAAAATCCACAGATGCTGGAACAACAGGTTCGTCAGAAACATGAGAAGTGAGTGGAGAAGGAAGAGGAGCTCGAGAAAGGGCATCAGCATCAGCCATAGAACTCCTTGGGCGATGAACAACATCAAAATCATATATCTGAAGCTTCAAAGCCCATCGAGCCGTACGACCAACCAGGTTCTTCCGCTTCAATAATGAAGTAACAGCAGCATGGTCACCTTCAAGTAACGTCCGAGAACCATGTAGATATGCATGAAGTTTCTCGAAACCCCAGACTGCTGCTAAACACTCCTTCTCCGTCGTGGAGTAGTTCATCTCCGCTGGTTGTAATGTACGGCTGATGTATGCAATGGGATGGCGCTGACCAGGCACACTCGAGCTCTCTTGCATCAACACACCTCCAAGACCAATGTCAGAAGCATCCACGCGCAAAATAAAAGGTCGAGTGTAGTCAGGATATGCCAAAACCGGAGGAGTCGTCAATAGCTCTTTGAGATTCACGAACGCCCGCTCACAATCGGGAGACCAGATGAAAGATGACGTTGATGACTTCAGCAACGCTCGCAATGGTGTAGTGCGATCGGAAAGATGATCCACAAAACGACCGAGATACTGCACCTTACCCAAAAAACGCTGCACATCATTCACACACTTTGGAGTAGGGAACTTTAGAACAGCCACAAGTTTGTCAGGATCAACTTGCAAACCCTCACGAGAAATACGGTACCCAAGATAAGTTGTGTCCTTGGACCCAAACACGCACTTCGACCGCTTCAGCTTTAAACCAACGTCGCATAGCCGATCCAACACTTTACAAACATCACGAACATGCTCCTCCCACGTCCCCTCCGAGTGGATCAAGACATCATCAATGAAGTCAGCTGTCACCTTCGGCATATCGCAAAGAACCTCGTCCATCATCCGCTGAAAAGTTGCTGGAGCATTGTTCAAACTAAACGGCATCACCAAAAACTCGTACAAACCAAATGGTGTACGAAAAGCAGTCTTAGGAATATCTTCTTCAGCCATCGGTACTTGCCAATACCCAGAAGCAAGATCTAGCTTGGTGAACCAACGACTTCGCCCCAGACGATCCAAGAGATCAGCAGTGTGAGGAAGAGGGTACACGTCCGGAATCGTCACTTCATTTAACGGACGATAGTCGATGCAGAAACGAATACTCCCATCAGGCTTCGTCACAAGATGAGGTTCACATGCCCAAGGACTCCGCGACTTCCGAATAACACCCTTCTCCAACATCTCCTTGACGTTTGCACGTAAAATCTTGATCTCCTTGGGTGACCGACGACGAACAGGAACCTTGATTGGACGAGCATCCCCGGTTGGAATGGGATGACGTGTGGCAATCTTGGCCCCAGACGATAGGTCAAACTCAAAGAGATCAGAATACTCCTTCATGAGCTGGTCAACAGCTGCAACACAAAGATCATCGGAGGGATCGGAAAAAGGAAGAGCAGAACAAGATGAAAACACAAGAGGAAATAGTGGGGGAACAAAAGTAATGGAAGCAAAGGTAGAAGTAGAGGGACGAAGAGGTACGGAAGTGAGAGGAATGGATGAAACATAAGGAAGTATGAGACAAGGGGGAAAAGCCTCAAAGTCACACTTGGCATGATTGTGCTGCAACCAATCCATACCAAGAATGAGGTCAAAAGCTTGACTCGGCACCACCCGCAACGACTGCAACTCAAGCTCGAGATCGCCCACACGCACAACCAGGTCCGCCTCATCTCGTGCACATGCATGTGTACGGCCGTTGCCATAAAGAATGAAAACTGGATCTGCCGCACGACGCAAGTGTAGACGACAACGTGTGGCAACAGGTCGAGCAATAGAAGATAAACTCGAACCTGTATCAACCAACACGGAGAGAAGAATAGGAGACCTCTTGTTATAAAAACGAGCTTGGAAAGTAAACACTGGATGAACCGGTGCCGAGTGAACCCCTTGATGATACTCCCGAAAGAAAGATGGAGGGGTCACTAACTTATTCGCGCAAGGTCCCTCCATTACTCGCGCGACTCCTTGTTTCCCGAATGCACCTCGGTATCCAAACCTTCCACCGCAGCAGCACCAACGGGACGTTGCTGACGCCAAGGTCTCCACCCAGGAAATGGAGGTCGCCAATCCGGAAAGCGCCAACAACGCCGATAAGTATGACCAACTTCATGACACACCCAGCAACGAACGTCACGGCCACGACCACGTGCTCGCCCTTGTCCTTGGACTCAAGTAGCAGCAGCATCAACCTCCATGGGAACAGGACCATCACTCATAGGAAGTGGAGCTGAAGGACGTGTAGCAAGAAGTGGAAGAGGCGACGTCTCATAACATTGTGCCAAGCGAAGAGCATCGTCAAGAGTGGCAGGAGCAAGTGCATGCACAAGTCCGACAAGATCTTGACGAAGTGCTGGCCACAACATTCCTAGCTTGATCCGCTCTAACATATTTGGCTCCGCACGAAGCAAAAGACTTCGGAAACGAACGCCAAATTGCATCACCGACTCAGATGGCCCTTGGTGAAGACGATGCAATTGTTGGAAGGCATCATCACAATCGTCGGCGTGTCCGAAGGCGCGTTTGAAGACGTCCAGAAGAACACTCCAATCGCCACGAGT